AATAAAGAGTTATTATATGCTTATATTGTATATGCCCAATAACTCTCACATCCATGGGGTACAGTTGGGGGAACTGGCTGCTTCACTATTGTATATTTTCACTGCACCTTAGAAAGGAAACGAGAATTAATGTTGCTCTCTTGCATTTCAAATCTTTTGTTGTGCACCTCTCCACATCCTTTCTATTTTTAAAATATTTTGTATTATCTTTTTTTCAATCAGTTTTCTCAGGTTGAAATATCCTTTTCCTCATTGTATGTTTCACCAGCTCCGCATTCTAAAACCCCCTAAGCTTCCCAGTGGTCCTCTCTCTGGGGCAATTTTTTAAAATCATATTTCATGTTCAACTTGGTCTTTTGGATTATGATCTTAGGACCAGTCAGACTGCTTCCTTGATGTTCTGTTCAGACCCCATTGCTTATGTGGATCTTTTACGTTAAGCAGGTCCTTGGAAACACTACTGCAGAACATTCTTTTTCTTCCATGCTTTGCGCTATGGGTGATGTTTTCCTGGGTTTGTCTCAGTCTTGTGTATGGAGTCCGGATCATGAAAAGTTAGATTGTTTGTTTTGAGATCATGAGAAATGAGAAGACAAAGGAGCTTACAGAGGCAGAAAGTTTGTCTGAGATATAGGCAGTGCTCAACTGTAGACTCTTCAGGAAGCAAGAATGTGAAGTGGATCAAGTGGACATCAAGGTTTGAGAATCACAAACCTAAAGGCTAGAGTCAAAGACCCAAGAGTCACTGAGCTTTTTGAAGAGGGAAGAATGAACAACAAAAAAGAACAAAGTGAATGGTGAGATGTTGAAACTTGAGAGGTAGCAGCAAGAAAATGAGCCATTGAAAATTACAGAGAGCCGGGCTCGGTGGCTCAGTCTGTAATCCCATGCCTTTGGGAGGCTGAGGTGAGTGGATTGCGTGAGCCTGCGGGTTCGAGACCCGCCTGGACAGGGAGACCTCATCTCTACAATAAATCAAAAAATCAGCCGGGCGTGGTAGTGCATGCCTGTAATTCTGGCTACTTGGAAGGCTGAGGCGGAAAGATCGCCAGAGCCCAGCAGGTTGAGGCTGCGGTGGCTGGGAGTGGCCACTGCACTCCAGTCTGGGTGACAGAGTGAGACTCCAACTCAAAAAATAAAAATAAAAAAATTTAAAGAAAAGGAAATTACAGAGAATGATCATTTGAAAAAAGTAGGAAAAAAATCCCAGAAGTCATTTAAACCTTCAGAAGCAAGAGTTACTACTGTTTGAATTGTCCTAAATATGTATAGTTCCATATAGGGTTCAGAGTATTAAAGAAGCAGAGAAAGGGACATAGGAGTGTCTCTTCTATTTAATTTTTTGAAGCCAAAATGTTACCTCTTTCATGAGATATATAAAAGAAACAACTATCTTACTGTTTGTTCTCTTTAATAAATAGATTACAAAGAGTTGATCTTTGCAACCTATTCATACCTTTATTTGCAAAAGAAATAAGTCTAAATTATGAATGTGTATATAACAATAAACTTTGTATTCTGCATATAATAATTTGTATATTATAATATTCTACATATGATAATAATTTGTCATTTATTGAAAGCCTACATTGTATCAAGAGAATGCTAGTTTTTTGTACATGTGATTTTATTTCATCCTTACAATTATCTTTTGATATAGCTGTGAAAGTAATGAGACAACACTCATCAATTAACTTAACTCAAGCCATGCAATTACTGAAGTCAGCAGAAGAATAGATTCAGACATCTGAACTTAAAGCCTAGGTTAGTACAATTAAAGAAAAACAACTAGAAACGTTTCTCCCTTTAGATATGCCTAATGTAAGGAAATTCTCCAAATTTTGAAAGTTGGATACATTGCCAATGCTGATTGGTATTTTTTAAAAAGTGATATACAGATGTCTGCCACATAACAATTATCCAAAATTTGGGGAATAAATGGATAGATGGGAAATTCTAGACATTAGCAGGAAAATATCTTCATCCCATGAGCTGGAATTTAGTCCATGAGAATTATGCCAGTCAGTTTTCCTTAAATCAGAAGTGTTATGATTCCATTTTTGATGGATTGCCAATCTCTAGTTTAAATCCTGCCAAATGGCCTTTTGTTAAGACATGTGAAGAGCTAAAATCTATAGCTAAAAACCAGAATTGATTCCCAGTTGTTGATCAGACAAAGTAAAGAGGGTCTTCATGAGTCCTGAGAATCAGGGTTCACTTCTCAGTTAGGCTTTTCGATTAAACAGGAGTAGCTATAAGACTTTTCTGTTTCAAACTCCTGAGTACAAATCCTTTTATGGTAGTGCTTCATAAGAGTTTGTAGAATGTCATCTTTCCCATTTAACCTGACAGAAAAATGTCATTTCATTCTGTGCTCACCAGAATAAGAATTTTAAGGAAGCTGCACACTGGACATGCTCCTGCGTGTGGAGGGGAAATTATGGTTTGTGAGCATGAACGAATGATCATCTGTGTGAAATCTGAGAGGAAATGACGAGGAAACTAGATTTTGGAACACTGTGTGATGTGAACAATAGAAAGAGACAAAATCGGTGGCATGTGCTGCATTCAGTAAATTCAAATGCATTTTTTTAAGCAGTATTATCCTGAATAGATGGCTTCCACAAAGCAATGGCTTTGGAAAAGCAGAGGTGGTTATTATTTATTGGTTTTAAAGCTTTGTCCAAAATGATACCTGTATATCTATGGTTTTTGTCTCCCATCTATTGTAAATGGATTATCGTGGTATTCTATACACCCACACACACACTCATGTATTTCTGTGGTTGAGATAGTTAATTATAAATTGAAACACCAGAGAAATTTTAAACCTTAGATTTTCTAGGCGTTTGAATTTTATTAACACTAGATTTGCTTCTCTGTTATTTCCCATTATTTAATATTTTGATTTAAAAAACAACCAAAACAATATTTACTAAAAAGATCTCCAATTAAACCACAGATAATCCAGGCCCTTTCAGAACTAAAAACATTCTTTGTGGGAGTCATGAGATTTGCTCGTGGGGCACAGGTTTTACTCAAAATCATTGTGCCTTAGGTTACTGATTTTATCTTTCTGACCCTTGATTTTCTTTCTATAAATTAGAAGTTTTTATATACTCTCATCCAGTCCTTCCGATGTGTATATTTTCATTGGAATCTATGTGGGAAAAGTTAATATTATCTAAATTTAAATTTATGATGTGAACAATAACTTTAAAATTGATTGAGTGTAAGAAGGTCTAAATCTCAAGTTAAATAAGTAAATATTAGGAGAATGCTGTTAACTTAGTTACTGCAAAACTTTAACAAGTGCACCCTATTTGGACACTTGACTCTTGAAATTACATCCTTTACTTGTTTGACTCTGTTTCATTATTGTAGCATATAGTCACTTAACTTGGTAAATTTTTTCTGTCCCATAGTAGATAAGTCTGAATCAGAGCTAGTAAATTTAAGGAGTTTTTTTTTGTTGTTGTTTGTTTGTTTGTTTGTTTTTTTGAGTTGGAGTCTCACTTTGTCACCCAGACTAGAGTGCAGTGGCCGCTCCCGGCCACCACAGCCTCGACCTGCTGGGCTCCGGTGATCCTTCTGCCTCAGCCTTCCGAGTAGCTGGAACTATAGGCATGCGCTACCACGCCCGGCTAATTTTTTGATTTATTGTAGAGATGAGGTCTCGCCAAGTTGCCTAGGCGGGTCTCGAACCTGCGGGCTCAAGCAATTCACTCACCTCAGCCTCCCGAAGTTGCGGGATTACAGGCTGAGCCACTGAGCCCAGCTAAGGAGATTTTTTTTACACTGAATTGTCCCCACATTTTACTTGTTTAAAAAAATTCTTACAATATTATGATAATTGTTCAAGGTCTGTTTATGAGTGAGGACATATGGTATTCTGTTCTTTGTTTCTGTGATAGTTCACTGAGTATGATAGACTCTAAATTCATCCAAGTTGTTGCAAAGTGTATGTATACCACTTTTTTTATCCAGTCCAGTTTTGATGAGCAGCATGGTTGGTTCCATGTTTTTGCTATTGTGAATAGAATTGCAACAAACATGCTTGTGCAGGTATCTTTTTTGTAGAATGATTTGAGTTGCTCAGTAGTGGGAAACTGCCAGGGGAGTGAGGGTGGGATTGGCAATTGAGGGAAACTGCCATGGGAAGGAGGGGAACACCTTGTCAACAAGGGTAACTGCATCATGAACATTTGTTTATCTAACCCTGAATTATACCCCACATCTTTAAAATAAAAAAAAATTATCTTCATACCTGTTTTTTTCTTCATAGTCTTGAGGTTAAAGCTGATCTACAAGTCCACGGGGACTGTGCCATCTCTCTAGGGGTCTTTTCTTACATCTTAGTTATTGGATGCCTTCTGTATTATAGTTCTTTCAGCCCTGATGTCTGACAGGCAGTTGTTAAAATATTAGATTTTGTGTAAATAGATTCATTATGATCTCAGGCAAGTTATTTATAAAAGAACTTCCTGATGCTCTAAGGGAGATAAGTCAGGAAGGTGGGGAGACAAATAAAAGGAGAAAGGGTTTTGAGAGCTGCAGAGGTGATGGTCTATTCTAATGCTAATTCGTATGAATCTTGAAGCTAAGGAGTCAACACAGTAATACATATTGTGATGATATGTACACTATTTTTCCTTCTCATTCTTTCCAGTGTTAGATGTGTGATGCTGCCTCCCTTAGTCACTCCATCTGACGAGACATGACATGTTGAACTGTGCAGAAATTGTGTGGGAGTGGTCAACCTTATCTTTTAGAATAATTATAGAGATTTTATTCTGACCACTTTTCCATTGTTTCGCATAAATCCTTAACATCCTTAAAATTTTAAAAATGTATATACTTATGCTGCATCCTAGAAATGTAATGAATACTTTTATATGTATTTGACATTAAAAATATAAAAAAGATGAATAATAATATTTCAAAGACATAGAAAACAATTGCTGTGAAAATAAGCGTGAATTTGTTCCATCTCTTTTCAGCTGTGTCCTGTGGAATCCCAGAATCCCCAGGAAATGGTTCCTTTGCGGGTAACGAGTTCACTTTGGACAGTAAAGTGATCTATGAATGTAATGAGGGCTTCAAGCTTGAAGCTAGTCAGCAAGCAACAGCAGTGTGTCAGGAAGACGGGTTATGGAGTAACAAGGGGAAGCCGCCCACTTGCAAGCGTGAGTGTTCAAATGCATCTACCTGTCTTTGTGGACTTAGGTGGGACCCAAATTCCCTGGGGAGATCGCTAGTTCCAACGTGCAGAGGTCCTCTCTCATGCCATGTGAGGGCTTGGTCTCTTTCATCGTACTCATATTCAAACCAATTTATTTCATACAAAATACTCCAGCCATTTTAAATGAGTTGTGCACTCTTGAAAGCTGGATGAATCCTGTGGGTTCCATCATTATAGACACCATGTAATTTGTGCAGCAAATCTTGTTCTGCTGTTTTCAATTTGGAGAGATGGAATCCAGAGGAAATTGAGACATTAGGCCCAGCAGTAGCATTCTATGCGAGATATTAAGACATAATTCAACATGAGTTTTCCTCTTCACCTCCCATCTCACTTGAAGTTCTTTGAAGTCAAAAGCAGTGCCTAGTTTATTTGAGTATCACCCACACTGCATAGCACATTGATAAGTAAAGCCCTAATTAGATTTATGAAGTGGGATAAGTTTTCTAGAAAGCTATTTGCAGTCTATAGTAATATTCTTAAGAGGGTCAAAAGTTTGGGTCCATCTGTAACGCTGATCTTAAAGAATAATAGTCTATGATGCAAAGCCAAACAGAAGATCACACACAGTTACACACACACACAATTTGCACAGCAAGATTTTCATTGCAGATATATTACAACTAGCCTCAAATTGAAAATAATCTAACCTACCTCTTTCTATAAGTTGAAAACTATATAATATTCTGTATATAAAGAGATATTTTCCTCTAATGATGTTAGCAAAAAGGATACACATGGTCTTTGTTTATGAAATCAGATCATTGACTTCTTCTTGTGTATAGTATTTCGGTCATGCTAAAAAATCACTCAGATATGAATATGTAAATGTTGATGGAAAATAGTTGAATTCTTTTCACTGGTGTTTATTTCCCTTGCTATCATTTTCATCATTTATACTGCATTTTCTGAGGGTCAGTTAGGCAATATTGACACCACATCTATATATTTTGGTTATTTTCTGTTACATATTTTGGTTATTTTCTATTTAATAAGGTACTATTTTCTTGCAATTATGTAATACTATGGAAAGCTAGGATATCAATATACATTGATAAGTTTTTTTAGTTCAATCACAAACAAATTTATTCTCTCAGACTAGGAACTGAACATGACAGATGGCAATAACATGCATGTTTGGAGTTGATTTTAATAAGAATGGTGTCCCAGGTATTTATGTGTAGTGTTCATTTTGCACATAGCCTGGAGATGATTAATAATGACGTTGGCCATTTTTAAAGTGTGCATTACCTGCTAGATATTTCAAATAGCTTATCTATACATCTCATAACACACTTAAAATGTGAGACAAATATGACTTCACAAATGAGTATCTCTGCTGCTAATATGCAGAATTGGAGCTTGAATTCCACTCTCTCTAGTTCTAAATCCTAGGCCCCTTTCATAACACCAAAGGCTTTCTATTCTGGGCATGTATTAAAATCCTCTAGGGAGCTTTAAAATAAATATTAATGTTCAGATTTGACCCTCAGTGATTCTGACTTAACAGTTTTTGGGTGGAGCTCATTCGTGAATTATTCTCAGATTTTTTTTTTGAATTTTTTTCAAGTTCTCTGGTATTATGCTTTAAATGTCAAGTACATGCTATTTTTTAAGGGAAAAACCACTTTAAAATTATATACTATTGGAAAAAGACTTGATAAATGACAAAGTAATGATATAAAGCATAATTTTTATTTTCACAACTTTTTTGTGTGTGAGTGTGCTTCTTTGTTTAATAAGCTTTATTTTTTTAAAGATTGGTTTTAAGTTCACAGAAAAATGAAGTGGAAAATACAGAGAGTTTTCATGCAGCGCCTCTATGTGTGAAAGGTCTTTCCCCCATCAACATCTCACACCAGAGTAGGGTGTGTATTACAAAGGGAGACCTATGCTGAAACATCATTATCACACAAAACCTATAGTTTACATCAGCGTTCATTCTTGGTGTACATCCTTTGGGTTTGGGCAAAAAAATAATGACATTTATCCACTGTTATAGTATCATACAGAGTTTTCATTGTCCTAAAAATCTTCTGTGTTCTCTCTCTTAATTCCTTCTCACCTTATTCCTGGGAACCACTTAATTCTGTCTCCATAGTTTGTAGAATGTATTACAGTTGGAATCACGCAGTATGTAGCCTTTTCAGATTGGCTTCTTTCACTTAGCAATGTACATTTAAGCTTCCTTCTTGTTTTTGCATGGCTCTAGAACTCATTTTGTCTTAGTATTGAACAATATTCCATTGTCTGTATATACTACGGTTTATTTACCTGTTCACCTACTGAAGGACATCTTGGTTGTTTCCAAGTTTTGCAGTTATGAATAAAGCTGATTCAGACACATGGGCAGGTGTTTGTGTGAATGTACATTTTCAATTCCTTTGAATAAATCCCAGAGTATGATTGACAGATTGAACGGGAAGGGTAATTTTAGTTTTGTAAGAAACATCAAACTCTCAAAGTAGCTGTACCACTTTGTATTTTTGCCACTAATGAATGAGACTTTCTGTTGCTCCACATCCTTGACAACATTTGGTTTCGTCAGTGTTCTGGATTTTGGCCATTCTGATAGGTGTGTGTGGTGATTCGTTTTAATTTGCATTTCCCTGATGACATATGATGTGGACCATCTTTTCGTATGCTTAGTTATTATCCTTAGATCTTCTTTGGTTAGGTTTCTGTTAAAGTCTTTTCCCCATTTTTAATCAGTTTGCTCATTTCCTTCTTGTCTTAAGAGCTCTTTGTATATTTTAGATGCTAGTTCTTTATCACGTGTTCTTTTGCAAATATTTTCTCTCAGTCTGAGATTGGTCTTCTCATTCTCTCAACAGTGTCTTTTGCAGAGCTGATGTTTTTAACTTAAATGAAGTCCAACTTATCAATTCTTTTTTTATGGATGATGCCTTTGTTGTTGTGACTAAAACGTCATTACTAAGTACAAGAGCATGACAGTTTTCTCCTATGTTATCTTACTGTTTTATATTTTTGCACCGTACACGTGGGTCTGTGAGCCATAATGCATTAATTCTGGAGGAAAGTGTAAAGTCTGTGTCTATCTTTATTTGCTGGTATGTGGATGTCCATTTGCTTCAAAATCGTTTGTTTAAAAGATGATATTTTCTCTACTGAGTTGCTTTTGCTGCTCTAAGACCAATTGACTGTATTTATGTATATCTACTTCTTGACTTTCTATTCTGCTCCACTGATCTATTTGTCTGCTCTTTTGCCAATAACACACTGTCTTTCTACATCAGTTTTTGTTTGGCTAAAATGAAATATGATAAATCTGACACTTTTTTCAAAATGTATTAAATAGGAATTTAATAATTTGGAAACTTAATTAAAAGAGCATCTTCCAGTGTCCTACAAAAATCTGTCTTGCTGTTGGTTGTAAATATTTATAGAGATGTATTTGATTTTAGTAATAATGTCCTGATGAAAACAGATACCTCTATTACCTTTAAAACAACATGGAAATCATTTTGTCTGAAGACAACCCAGCTCTTTGAGGATCACAGATATCTTGTCTCAGTGGCATTTTATTTTAACCAATGAAGTGTTATTCTTAGATTAATTAAGGAATGCCTCACACGTGTCCCTGTTTCTTCAGAGGCTGACAAAATGAACAAGAACCCCCAGTTTATCACTGTAGTGTTGAGCTACAGCAGAACAGAGTGCCTTCACAGCATAAACAAAAATGAATTTTTATGTCTATCTGAACCGTATGCCTATGCTAAGACCACACATAGTTAGTTGGGTAAGCATTCATGCACTCCCAAATTTCTGGCTCTACATTGCAGCTTGCTCTCTAGAATGATAATGCAAGTAGTTCATATCTACCAAAAAATGAACTGGGATTCCATAACTCCAACTTGAAGAGCCAACCATGTGTGAATTATAGGAGAAAGAAACAATATAGCTTTCAAGTCCTTGATTGGGGATAAAAGAAGAGAATTTCAAAAAAAGAAAGACGGACGCAGCCAAAATGCCTGGATTCCATGGGGGAAAGCACGTGAGATGACTCTGGTAAATAAAGGAAGCATAAAAGTTGTTCAAGGAGGGACTATGGACTCCTGATGCCTCACTGAGTACTCTTGGAGTCTATTCTGGACAAGACAGTGGGCTTGCAACCACTGGCATAAGATTGGTAAGACATAGCTCCCACCCTTAGAACCTGAAGATATTGCCCAAGACATTAAACAAATGACCTGATATGAATCACAGCAGAAAGAAATGACTGATGCATACAACACTAGTGTTCAGTCTAGGTTCAGTCTTGACAGTGGAGATAGCTGTGCCAGGGCTTGGTTTGGTGAAACAATAGTGAGAACCAGAACCACCTTTTGAAGAGTAACCCTAGACATTGTGCTGTATCAGACATTTGTCTGTGCTACTGATTCAATTATAATAACAATTTTATGAAGAAGGCATTATTTTCCTTACCTTACTGGTTTAATAAAACAGTAAATAACTGAGATATCCAAAATGTGCAATTTGTAACCTATCAGATTTTGTTATCACCTTACAACCCCCCCGTGGAAGGACTCCTGCTGTGGAAACAACTAGGTTAGATGCAGATGCTTTGGGTATTATGAAAACAAAACATTTGTGTTATGTTGCCAAAGTCTGCCTGGAATATAGTCCTTCATAGTGTAGGAGGAATTCAAGGCTGTGTCCGCACCACAAACCTATGGATAAAAACAGTTGAAAGATTAGCCTGGTTTCATGATCCATGGGGGTGAGCTTAAGTAGAGATGCCTTGAAGGACCTGGTACTTCTGAGAAGTGCCAGGAGAGAGGGGCAAAAAGAAGACACAGAGGAGAAGAAGGAGAGCAGAAGCCCGGCTTAGAGTCTGAGAATGCACCCAACCACTCACAGTGAGGAGAAGAGAATTACAACAGGAGTCTGGATGTCTTTTTTCATCCTAAGCTCTTGTCTTGC